AATCCACTCGTTTTTTTTTTTCCATAGAGAAATTGATTTTTAATGATAACTAAACCTTCAAAGACAAACCTGTTGTGAGCTCTGAGGTTGTTCATCAATTGGATAAGCTTGTGTTAAAGCCATTTTTCAACTTATTTCATACTTAGTGGAATTCGTGTTGAGAAACTTCATTACTTTGTATAGAAAATGTCACCAATCAGAGAGCAGCAACGAGACAATCGTGCCTAAAGAGCTGCAAATGATGTAATCAGGTTGGTCTCCCTATGCTTTCCATATGTATGCATATTTTGCAATAATCTTAAATATTCTGTTTCTCTAGATATAATCAACAACCTAAAACTAATATTTTTAAATCTCTCCATTTTTAATTCAAGTAAGTCGCAGTGCTTCATGGGATTGTTTTTTTAAGTACCTTGTACCTTTATCTTTTTGTCTGATTTTTAAATACTTCTTTGCATTAATAAATCAATCTTTGCAATGTTGTGCTTCATCTAATAGCTGGTTGGTTTGGTGGCTTATAACATTTTAGCAAAGACTTTTCTCTATAGGAAAAACGAGTGGAAAAAAAATGATTCCGGGACCAACACATTTCATGTGTTTAAATGCTTCTTTTCAAGGTTCTTTAATGAATTCTTCAGAACTATTGATATGCTATGATATTCATGGGAATCAGCAATTCACAATTACTTTTGTATTACAGTTAAGCATACACTTCAGATTGTTATTATAGCTTTTAATGTGGCTAAGGGGCCTCGTTAACATTCTCACTAATTGATGCTATTGTCATCGCGTCTGTAAATTGGAAAAACAAAGACATGCTTGCAGATAATAAATCAGCCACAACAATGAGGAAAGCTCTTGATCTGACAGGAAATTGAATTAAACTGCCTGCTATGTGGCTGTCAGCGCGAGGAGAGGGGTTAAACATTGTGTGTCAGGGGACCACTACTGTGTAGCATCTGAGAGTATAATCTGTTCTAAGGTTCCAGAGGCTCCTCCGGGCTTTTTAACAGGCAACACCCAGACATTAATCTTGCTGTGATAATGCATTTATACTGGATTAAACTGAAGATTGCCTTTAGTTTGAGAAAGGGTTGGTGAATTATTTCTGTCTGAGTTGGGGGATTTACTTTAAGAGCTCTTGCTGTGGACTCTCTGGGGACAGTGTTGGTGGAGATCCTGGATATGTATTTACTAGTAGGTTAAATTTGCCCGTGGCAAGAGATCTGACTTGATCAAATGAAAGAACATCAACTGGTATTTGCTCTCCCATCACGTTTGCTCATGTCTGCTTTTGTTAAGTTGTTTACCAAACAAATCATTTGAATGCAAAATGAATACGGTTCATATATAAAGGAGCTTCTTCATCAAGTTTCAAATCGCAACAGTTGTAATAAACATAAAGATGCATCAGTACAAAACACGTAAATCCTGCAGCCAGATTATTTGTATGTGTGTGTTTATTCTCCACGAATGCTTGAGGAAAAAGATTCTCATGAATGTTGCATGAGTATGCCCATCACCGTCTAAACTACAAGCTCCTCAATGTTGAAAAAAAAAATATGCAGAAATCACCTTTGCGAACACCTCTCACGTACAATAAATTGGACAAGCTCTATCTTGGAATAACCTATCGCCTTTACCATTTCGGCACTGGGAACACATGCAGGACACAATCTGATTCGCTTTTGTTATGCAGGGAATCGCGCTGGGGCATCTGGGCTTGTTTGCCTTTGGTGAGAAATGGAGATTGGTTTGGAGGTCTGAATGAATTGCTGGCGTCTGTGTTTATTGCTTTCATTAAGATTTAATGAGTCAAGTGTCCTTCCCAGTGACTTAGATTTTACCCACAGCATTTGACCACAGGAAATGTTGGGCAAGTCTGTGAACTATTGGCATCCGTACCATGTAGACATGTGTGTTAATGGAAGTGCACAGGAAATGGCATAGCTGACATCAACATTGTCATTTCTTATTTAATACCCTACTTATTTCAGCCGTAAAATGGAATCTGGCATTTGTCCAGGCAATTTTATCCCTAAAAGATGCTGCAGTGAATCGGGCGAATGGGTTGGTTCAATGGACATGTGGTTTTCCTGTACGTCTCAGCAAGAATTTCACACCAAGCTGGTGGATGAGTGTGAACACAGGCCTGGACCATCGCACTCTTGCACTATTTCCGCTGCATTCGCCATGATTCTCGGACCACAACACCCTGACAGCATGTAGGCCATTTAACAACAGCTCCTAGACAATCATACAGCCTTTTTTAAGCTAAAGAATAATAGATAATGCTCCTATTCAGAGTGTCTGAAAGGTTGGGCATGTACATGACATTAAAAGCAATGTGAGACCAAAAAAAAATCTAGTGATGATTCATTTTAAAACAATGCCACCTACTCATCCTATTAAGTACTATAGTAAATTACTTAAGAAATGCTCATGAGTGTTTTATTTAGAAAACTAGTCAGCTGGTATGGCTCCAACAACGTATTTACTTCATATTAAGAGTTTGTATAGCATGCATTGTATCACATGAAACGCAAACATTTCATTAGAGATCAGAAAACGTGCATTTCTCCAGTCAAAGAAGTATAGAATTATATGGTGAATTACATTAGAGCTACATTCATTTGGTCTTTTGCAGTGTGGAATGTCTCTTAACAAAGGTACATTTGATCAGGTTATTGGCTTAAAGAAACATAGGTGTATCTGTTATCGTATTACTCAGATAATATTATTTAATATTTTAATTTACCAAGGTAAATAAGAAGAAGTAGTGCAGTTTATTGTAAAGGTAAAATATGCATACGATCTGTTATCGTATTACTCAGATAATATTATTTAATATTTTAATATATAATTGTATTTACCAAGGGAAATAAGAAGTAGTGCAGTTTATTGTAAAGGTAAAATATGCATACTCCACATTTTTGATATAAAGAAAAGAAAAAAAACTCAATGTTAATTGTTGTTTTTTTTCGTGATTGTGTTTGGGGGGAAACTATCGTTTTTCCAAAGTACACAACCTCTTCAAGGTCATCTTTTGGAAATAAAGCGTGTGCTCTCCAGTGTTGTCATAAATATGGAATTACTAGGAAAAACATTTTAAAAGAATTAAGGTTTTATTGCAATTTAAATAGGAAAAAGCTTCAAAAATCATTTCACCGAGCATATAGGCTATTTGAAATATTCATGAAAATATGACATGGAACTATTATTATTACTAATGTTGTTGTCGTCGTAGTTGTTGATGTTGTTTAGATGTTTTTATTAATAGTTTATCATAATCGGTTTGGGGGGGGGTTTGCGCTAGTTTTGCATGTAATCGTATTGCGCAGCGTTTAAAAACTCTCAAAGACTATTACAAAGACTAACCTAATCCTATTCGGCATACTGCAGTGAAACTGCCTTTCTAACTTTAGGGCGTAGATTAGGCGTCTGTGTTGAGCATTAATATAGTGTGGGACAGCAGCAGGATTAAGAAGAGTGTTTGGTGTTAAATCGGGGTAGTGCGAACGGTCCCTCCCCAGCAATGGGTTAAAGCGGCATTACAGCTTGTAAGATGGGTGTCCCGCAGATCTCCCTGGAGACCAGCTCCACTTGGGTGTTCCAGGGCTGAGCAGAGAGCAAAATACGTGCTAAAGCCATTTAGCTGCATGACCCGATGTAGTTTAGATGCCACCATGCACAGTCCTGCAATTCGGATCAGACTGTGTTTCTGATTAGCTAATTTTGTGGTTTAGATAACCATATGAGTCGTTTATGTGCATTCAATTCAATCAAAATAAAATTAAATTAAATCAAAGTTTCATTCCCATTCATGTAAGTGTGTACATTCACCATTTGTGGCCTAGTGTTAAGTTTGTATGTGACGTAGCTACTTATGAAAGTTTAGGCGGTGCCCATAGCTCTCCTTGAGAAGCTTTATGCTCCTAATGAGAATTTTGAGGATCAGTTGTTTACATTCCGGCTTTCATTTGCAGTATGATATGCAAATTAGGCGACTCTGACGAAAAGCAATTAAACAGGGTTACCTAAGTGAGAAGGGAAAACACGCCAGAGAAACGCTGATCTCGTTGCTATAACAACAATAATAGTTCGATTTTTAGGTTTTGTTTTAATTCGTTTTATCATACAGCCTTTAAAAAAAAAAAAAAAACAGAAATTAGAAATATCGCTTAGATCATACTTTTATATTGCATCCTTTAAAGTAGTCTAAAAGCATCTTGAATTTTCTAATTCCAGGCCTCCTGTCTTAGATACTCACATAGTCACAAGTAAATATGGGTAATATAATAATAATAATAATAATAATAGTTGTTGTTGTTGTTGTTGTTATTATTATCGTGGTCGTCCTTGATGTTGATTTTTTTTTCCCCCATTGTAGCCTCAGAACAGAAACAAACTGACTAGCTACCACTCTTTTTATTCTTTCTGTAAATTGTCATGGTAAGACTTATTTTGTCTGATGTAAAACATTAGGTGGGTGCTGATGGCTGTTGTTATTTGTGTCTCTGGAACGATGTTAACAGACCAGAAATTCTTCTTGGTTGTCGAAAATAATTTAATTTGTAGAACTTTCGTTAAATGAGAGACTTGTACGAGCGTAAAATCCTTTGTCTGCATTGATAATTTGGTTGCAAAGTCGTTTATATCTCGATAACAAAAAAAAATAACAAAAAAAAGACATCACTACTAGGCTACCTGAGAAGAACTCCATTTGATGGGCTGCGGTTATTGGCACGGCGAAAGCAGTGCATGTCTTCTCCAGTATCACTGGCATCAATCAGCTGGAATAGCCATCTGACAGTCGGCTGAAAGAGCCCCTTAACATCAGCACTTGAGTTGTGTCTGTTCATGCGTCGAGCCATATTGCCGTGAAATCGCATTGTTGCATGCAGAAACCTCCTATGTGAAATCCTTATTAAGCCAAACACACGCAGCATGCATCGAAAGCCTCAGCAGTGAGCTGGATTTAATGATGAAAATGTTCGTACCTGGAGCCTGCAGAACGGTATCGGAGCCTCTCCCGCTGCCTTCTGCACAGGGCTGGAAGCCTCGCGGCATTTATTTGAGCTCAAACTCTGTCACTGTTGACTTTAGCAACAAAGCAAAGATTTCACTGCCCCGCTAGTTTAAAACAATGATTATTTTACCAAGATATCGATCAGTGCGCTATAAAAATTCAGCCTAGCATTATGTCTAAAACGAGGGGCAGCGAAATTTAATTTCTGTGTAAATTTACCTAGAAGTGACGTGCGCTTATTCAAAGTTTACACTCGTGTGATTTGATTGCTCATGTACGCATCCTATATGTATTAATACCGCCTTTTTCATTGTTTACCCGTTTTTGTTTATTCGCAGATCATGGGGGTTTGAAATAGCCTACAATGGAATGGACTGAGAACTAAAAACACAGAAGTAACAAAACCAGGCCTTCTTTGCCATTATTCAAGTCGAAGGAGAATTCTCTTAGTGTACACATTCATGTGATACCCCAGGGGGGTGATTTGTTGGACTTCTTGATCTGCAAGTTTACTAGTAAAAGGTGAAAGCCTGTGACACAGCTTCCTTGTGTGTGTCGGAAAAGCAGTGCGATGCCTGTCGAATATGCGCCACTACATAAACATTTCTATTTCTGCTTTTAGTTAGGACTTATTTTTCCTGTTATTAGCTTTTTACATAAGAGGGGTCTGTTGGAAAGAAACGAGAGACGAGAGAAAAACGAGAGAAAAAAAGGGGCTTTTTTATTTATTTAGGGCCTATTTATTTATTTTTCCGGTTATGTTTCATAAAAAAAAAATGCTAATCTAAAATATTTCTTGCAAAACTGTTGAACTGTTTTAATTAACGGAGACTGTAGGCTATTTCATGCCATTTTTATTTATTAATTTTACATCAAAAGGGTCGCACGTCTAATTCGTAACAAGAGACTGTCTAAAGATGACAAAAGAGATAGCTGAAGTCAGAAATGGGCTCTATTCTTTGCTTATTTTTGTTATGTTTTTTTTTTATCTTATGTCATCATATATATTATGTTCATGTATAAATTAATAGATATATATAATTATATAGATTATATGCAAATAATTTGTGTCGTCTTTCTTAACACAACGCTACATTTTATTGCGTGATAATAGATTTCAAGTGACTATCGCTTTTTTTAAGTAAAATGCAGTAGGCCTATATCTTTCAAGGCATTCGAATATAAGCCTAATACTGATTATTTTGGAAATTTATGAATGTGTTGAAAAGTATGTCATTAAAAGCAATTGAGCTTATTTCATATATTAGGGGGGGGGGGACAATTTCTTGGACTATTTTTCTGTTTTTATTGTTGGTATTAATTCAGGTCATGGTTGAAAATAGGAAAGAAATCATTCAGTCAAAATAATTCAACTGTGGCAGATTAAATATAAATCTGTAGCCCTCACGACTAACAAGTGGTTCGTATGTGCAAATACATTGATAATTCGTTGAGCAAAATTATATTTATTATTATTATTATTGCTGTTGTTGACAACACAATAACACAAATGAGTGAAAATCAGAATTGCGAAAAAAATTCCAAATAACACTTTAATATAGATTCTGTTCTTGTCATCAACTACAAGAATACACATTTACAAGCCATAAATAAGTTTACACAAGTGATTGAAGAACTTCAACCCGTCCGCAGTCCTTCGGTGTGGTTTTGGTCCATTTTCAAAAGCCGCCTCGAAGAGTTCGTCACATTGTCAACAGATCTTTTACAAAATAATTACTAACGAACATCTAAATTAACGGGGAACGTCAAAAATCAGAATACATGTACACAACCATTTTACAAATGTACAAATTGTCACAAGGTCCGTGAGAGTTTAGGAAGAGTTCAGGATGGGCCTGGAGTACACACCTTGGTAGTACGATGTGTCCGGCGAATCCAGGCCCGCTTTGCTCGCCATGGAGCCCATGGATAGCGCGCCGGCCATCGGAGAGCCGTAACCGTAATGCATCACCTGCTCGTATGTCTTTAGGTCCATTTTGTGATGCTGTTGCTCCGAGGACATGAGGTTGTTGATGGAGAAGGGGTGATTGAAGGAATAGTGATGATCTGGCTTCAGGTGTCCTTCGTGCGCCAAAACCGAGTGATGTTGGGCCAGGAGATGCTGCGCTTGAGAGGTCGGGGAGGCTGCGTGGTCCGGGCTCAGAGCCTGAGCCGACTTCATGTCAGACAGGGATCTTTTGTGCTCGTTGCTGGACGAGTTGGAATGAGGAGATTCGTTCCCGTTGCAGCTCTCAGAGCTGCTGTTCGAGCCGCCCTCCGAGGTTTTCCGACCCGGCTCCTTGCTCAGTTTCTTGTCGCACTTGAAGCGCTTTTGCCTCCTCAGATAGCAGCCGTTTTCGAACATGTTTCCGGAATCGGGGTGAAGGGTCCAAAACGAGCCTTTGCCCGGCTTATCCGGGGAGCGCGGCACTTTCATGAAGCAGTCGTTGAAGGACAGCGAGTGGCGGATAGAGTTCTGCCAGCGCTGCTGGTTCTGTCGGTAAAAAGGGAAAAGGTCCATTATCCACTGAAATTGTAGCATATAAATAGTTTAATATAGAAATGTTTTATTAAATAGTTCGTTTTGTTGGGGTTAAGAAAAAAAATTATCGAATTAATCTGGAGATGTGTCATAAAGTGAAAGCCATTTTTGTCAGTTACAGGTTTCCAACATATTACAGGAAACCCCAGCCACTCAGAAATTTAAGACCAACAACAGTAGGCTATTTGTTTAAAAGTCAAATGCCCGGTTTTTTTCGCTTTCGAATGTCCGATGTTGTTGAAGAAGAAAACCTATGTATTCGTCGGCATCTGTAATTGGAAATGAAAAGTTTGCATTGCATGTCAAGCACAACTTTGTTAGGATAGTGCATGGCGTCGAGATGATGGGGGAGGATTTGGAAGCGCCTCAAGTCAATATTTGATCTCAAAGTTAATATTATCTCAGGGCTAATATTGAGTTGTATAAAACCGGATCGGATTTCGACGAGGAGAAAAAAAATACATATATATTTATGTAGGTGAGTTACCCACCTCGGGCTCTCCGTAGTAAGTGCTCCAGTCAGCTGCGTGTTCGTGTCCCTCCATTTTCACAGCACCGAGCATCCTTGGAAAAAAGTTTCGTCTACTTTTCAAAACGCTTTCCCCACACGAGAAATGCCGGTATTGTGTGTCCTTTGGCAGCCAAAGGTGGTTGTTGGGGACCACGGGATACACTCGTGTCGTCGTCGTGCTCTCCTCCTGTCAAGGGCTGGCGCATGTGTGTGTGTGTGTGTGTATCAGAGATGACTGCAGTTGAAATGACGCCTGCTGCTGGCTCTTAACGCTGTGATATAGCTCTGTGCGCCCGGGCGAGCCTCCAATCCCTACTGCTTCACTCGGCCCCTATTTGAATAATCTGCTCACACCTAGGCGTGAGACTTCTCCATTTGCCCCCCTATTGTACACCTGCGCAGCTTGAAAAGAGCAGCCCCATTTGAAAAGATTCATTATATCCTAATCGTATTGTATTCCAGCGGGAGAAAGGGGGGAATAGAAGTTTGGACTGCTGGGAGAGGAGTGGTTTGAAATCACATCCAGATAAAACTGGGGAGAACCTCTGGCTTCAAGTATAGTTTTTATTCAGAGTGATCAACTGTCCGAGTGCTTTTTTTTTTATTATTATTATTATTTCATAGTTCTTATTAGCAGTATTTATTATTCACAATCAATGGGAATCAGTTTTTTTTTAATGCATATAAGCAAATCCATCTCACTTTATTTATTTTTTCTTAACAGCTTTTTTAAAAAACGATTTAATACATTTTCTTGCCCGGGCGAGCCTCCAATCCCTACTGCTTCACTCGGCCCCTATTTGAATAATCTGCTCACACCTAGGCGTGAGACTTCTCCATTTGCCCCCCTATTGTACACCTGCGCAGCTTGAAAAGAGCAGCCCCATTTGAAAAGATTCATTATATCCTAATCGTATTGTATTCCAGCGGGAGAAAGGGGGGAATAGAAGTTTGGACTGCTGGGAGAGGAGTGGTTTGAAATCACATCCAGATAAAACTGGGGAGAACGGATTTAAGAATGCCAACACCTCTGGCTTCAAGTATAGTTTTTATCCAGAGTGATCAACTGTCCGAGTGCTTTTTTTATTTTTATTATTATTATTTCATAGTTCTTATTAGCAGTATTTATTATTCACAATCAATGGGAATCAGTTTTTTTTTAATGCATATAAGCAAATCCATCTCACTTTATTTATTTTTTCTTAACAGCTTTTTTAAAAAACGATTTAATACATTTTCTTGTGAGAGCTCAATGAAGTCCAATAAATAAAATGTTTAACTAATCATCTGATTTTTTTAAAAAGAAGTACCTATTTGCAAAAGGACCGCATTTTAAAATATATACATATATAACAAAATATAAGAGAAAGTAGGACGACTGTGATTTAGGCCAGATCGAAGCGGGCTCATAATGCATTGTTTGTTCTTGGGAATCAGTTTTTTTTTAATGCATATAAGCAAATCCATCTCACTTTATTTATTTTTTCTTAACAGCTTTTTTAAAAAACGATTTAATACATTTTCTTGTGAGAGCTCAATGAAGTCCAATAAATAAAATGTTTAACTAATCATTTGATTTTTTTAAAAAGAAGTACCTATTTGCAAAAGGACCGCATTTTAAAATATATACATATATAACAAAATATACGAGAAAGTAGGACGACTGTGATTTAGGCCAGATCGAAACGGGCTCATAATGCATTGTTTGTTCTAAAATGTTTTCGCCTATTTTGAATTAATTTGTTTACCTGCGCTCTAGTTTATGTAACTAATAGCGGTGCGCAGTAGTAAGATTTTCTTTTTTTTTTCTTTTAGGAAAGAACATTTATGCTGTTAAGTTAACAGTATGTTTGCAATATCTTTATCACAGTATACTTATATATTTTGAACCTCACAATAGCCAAAAGCTCACAGTAAAAAATTTAAGATTCAAACCATGCCAGTTTTTCTCTACTCCATCACCATCATGCACCAGAGATGTAGTGACATAAGACTGAAAGGTTTGAGATTTAACCGCAGAATTTGCATGACTTAGACAAGAATGAATTTTGTGTGTGTGTGTGCGCGTTTTTGTGACAAATGAGGACATAAATTTGTATAATGACAAGGGTATGACATAGGTATTACAAGGAGAAGGTGACTTTTCAGGACATTGTCCCCACTTTTCAAAACGCTTATTAATCACACAGAATGGAGTGTATTGAAAATCTGAAATAGCACAAAGTTTCCTGTGAGGGGTAGGTTTAGGGGTAGGGTTGGTGTAGGGCAATAGCACAAACAGTTTGTACAGTATAAAAACCATTACGCCTATGGGATGTCCCCACTTTTCACAAAAACAAACCTGTGTGTGTGTGTGTGTGTGTGTGTGTGAGTGTGTGTTTTAATCTAATTTTACCAAGCTAGACTAACTAGGCTTACCTAATTTTGAAAAAAAAAAATATGCAACTGTAGATACCTTTTAAATTACATGGCACAATGTCCTCCTGGATTATTTTGTTTGAAGTTAATTATTAATGGACAAGGTACAGACTGTGAACACATTCTGTGTAGAAGGTCACTATTTTGTATTTGGTGGAAGTGCGAAAGGACCGTGTCTTTGAGTAAACACCACGTTGGAGCATAGGTCCAGACTTTGTGCCTGATCACCTCTGAACTTGTGTTGGCATATGTCACATGTCTCTGAAAATATCAAGGTCTAACGCAAAACTTTTAGATATTTCATTGAGGCGCACTTTCTTTCTCTAAAGCTTCAGGATTTTCTCTGCTTCTGTGCGTGGCCCAGAGCTCGATCATTCATCATGCGATTCAGCGCACTCTCTGTGTTGCAATACTGTCACTGTGGGTGGCGCCTTGGTGATCCTCCTCAATCTCATACATTAGGGCCTGTATTCTCAGCAAATATTGCCATGGAATCTTTAAACACTGACCTCCATTCTCCTTTTTGTCATTAGGAATTCATGTTCGAGATCATAGAGAGGTCAGGATATTTTAATCTACTGGAAGCAGATAGATAGATAGATAGATAGATAGATGACACAAAAATCATAATGGTTACAGTTCTGTATCAGTTGATTAGAATCACATTTTAACTAAATATGCAGGCTGAATATTGTGATTCCCTGTAATTTTTTAAAATAATATTTCCTAAAATACTTTAGCGAGGCATCAACTCTTTTTCAATTTTGACACGTGTATTGTAGAATCAGATTTAGTCTGCATTTGCGTATAACAGGGGTACAATTTGCAAATATTATATATATATATATATAGATAGATAGATAGATAGATAGATAGATAGATATTATAATATGTAATTCATATATATAATTCAAATATAATTCATGTTTGAGATCATAGAGAGGTCAGATAGATAGATAGATAGATAGATAGAGTAAAAGTGAGGCAGCAGGATTTCATTAAATTCCCTGCTGGTATTTGCAGGAATGTGTTACTTTGAGCTCCTCTTTCAAAGCTTTTAAACCACAAAAGAGGCCTTCAAACAAAACTATGTTTGTTCTAATTTCTTCTTTTTTTGGCATTTGCACTTTTACCCCGTCATTTATCTGATGGAACACAAAAGGGCCAGCAGGTTAAGCTTACGATTCATCTGTGTGAAACCGATAACTGGATCTCTTTCTTTCCAAATAAAAGATGCAAAAATGTTTGCCGCAGAGTGTCTGTGGCGACAGTAAACATTCCGGAGCGAGACAGGAGTTTGTTCTGGCTATTATCTGGCACAGCTGTGACAACCCCTGTTGGCTGCAGGTTTGTGGCCAACCAAAGCATGTTTACCTGGAAATGAATCTCAAAAGTAGTGCGACGGGGAATGCACACAACGCTGGTTGGGTGCAGAGGGGGGGAAAAATGCAGCCCCGCCATTGAAATGCCATTCAAAGCCAAAGGGGTGGTACGGAAGATATTGCACAGGGGCCTGGGCGCAAACAGTGGTGTAAATGGGCCAAAGGACTTCCTCAAATACGCACATTTTGATATTGAGAAGCCTTCGCCGAGGACTGCCCTCTAGTGCGCTTCTGTTTGGTCTGCATCCAAGACCCACTGCAATACGCTTCTGTTGTAATGCAAAAAAAGAGACAATCATGCATACCTCAAACAAGGTACCAATCCAGCGAGCCCAGCGTACTGGAGGATCTGAATGCACGAAATCAAACATCTCTTCATTTCGCCTAAATGGCCAAAGCAGGCAGAAGTTAAACGGGGTGACAGAGGGAACAAAGCAAAGCCTTTCGACGGCTTGAGATGGTAAATCTCTTAATTGATCAGATTAATGCATTATAATGCTTTGGCATGTCTGACAAACTATTACCCCTCTGAGGACAAAAAGGTTTGGACTAAATCCGTTATTTTAATCCTTCCATTTTAATGTATGCCGCAGCAAAAATGTAATATCACATAACCCTCCATTGCTATTCATCAGTGAGGGAACTGCAAAGTCAACACACGTTTTAATTACAAGCCAAAAGCAATTAAACGTGAGGACAAGCGTCAGTATGCTAATTAAATGGCAGGCCCCCGTGGGAAGAGAAGCTCTTAAATATCACCGCTATCAGTCCAGATTGAGGACTGCGAGCTGCCATCGTTCACACTCACCTGACACATTTTCCCCTCCCAGCTGCAGTAAAGCAAACACGGGCTTGACTCAAATCAATTCAATAGGGAAAGTTATTAAAGAGGTGACAGCGTGTGTAACGCTAAGTTAGTAAGAGATTAGAGTTTCCTGCGTTTCCTTGCCATCCTCTCTCTTTGCATTAGTAAGCGTAGAAACGGTAATAGAGGAAATTGAGTTCCAGCAGAGCTACTTTTTGGATTTTTAAGATATATGTTTCTAGAAAGCCCAGAAATCCACATACTGTATCTTGATCAGTAGATTCTGCCATTTGTAAATCAGTGCCAATCATTATCAGCGATGCAGGCCTTCAGCCCCTCAAGAAAACAGTCACGTTTCAAGTTTGACATCAGTCAGAAGGCATTTGACTGTTCCCATTTTCCATTATTCCCGTGTCTGCCGGAGGCCAGTCTTATCTGTATTCCGGG